TAATAAGAATAATAATAACCATTCTGTTATGTTTGTTTATGTGAACAGCAATAATGTTCCTGCATCAGTTTGGCCCAGGGAATGTTTAATCACGCTACAGTGTCAAAAACCAAAAGAAATCCCCCAAAACATTTTTATGTCTGATTATTAATCCCATTATTAACTATTTCAATCAATATTTGTGCACCGATGGGTTTTTTATGTCTCATATAATGGATTTATGAGGACAATTAACTCGTTTTGCATTAAAAAATTAAATCATTTTATGTCCGCTGTAAAATCCTACACACAAAAAAAACACGATTATACATTAAATTCATATTTGTTTTTATTTTATTTTATTTTATTTTTACATTTTGTTCTGTGTAATATGTGGGGAGTCGCAATTATGTAAAATAAACCATTTTTAATTTTATATGTTGATCATACTTATTAAGACAAACAGAAAAATACTTTACACTATTAAAAAAATTAAATTAAATTTAAAACGGATCAATTTAACCTGCAAAATAACAGAAGGGATAACAAGCTTATTTCTTGAAACTCAAAAAAATCCATCATTTTGCATCAGTTGTTGGAAACAGTTTTGAATTGATTCTTTTTGTATTTATTTAATAAACTGCAGAACTTTAAAAAGGATGTTCAGTATTTTACACACCTCTGTTGGAGAAGAACCATAAAACACACTGAGCTGCATCTGTTTGTATCAAAGGTGTTGCGCAAAATCATGAATCAATGCTTGAATTTGATATGTAAGAATTTAATTGCACATTTCTTAAAATTGGATTTTATATAGAATCTTATAACAATAAATTATCCATATTTTACCCAGGTCTGCAAGCTAAACAACACAATAACATAAAAACATGTATTCTGTGTAAAACAAAACTTCCCTGTTGATCGTTGGTATTTATTTTATGTTTTATAAAAGGGACACTGAGTATAAGGGAATGCAACTATCTTTGGACCAAATGAGCCCCACCAAACCAGCTTTTCCATATGCTGACAGCCACAACGAAGACAGGAAGAGCTCCAAGACTCGTCTGACCCCGTCAAAGGCTAAAGCCAGAGTGTCGCCTTATCCACAGGTACAGGAATGCTTCGCTGAATTAAATAAGCTCATGTATTTGTTAGTGATTGAATATTTCAGAACTGTGACTGTGTATCTTTCCAGCAATTTTCAGCTTTCAATCCAGATCGCTCAGAATCGGACCAAGACAGCCAGTGGGGAGGCAGCCCCCTGACCGACTCGGCCTCTCCGCAGTTGTTGGATCCCAGCGAGGCAGCTGAAGCATCCTGTGCCTACAGAATCTACCCAGACTCGGGCTCCCTGTGCAACGGTCTGGGTTTATCCGAAGAGGATCTCGCCCGCGCCCAAACCCGTCCTCACTCCACCACCTGCGATCGCGTCCGGTGCCAAAGCGGCCGCTATTTTCTGGGAACGCCTCAGTCGGGCAGGGAGATGTGGTGGGACACCACACGCTCTGTGCTCTCACTCCCAAAATTCTCGGCGGAGAGCAGCGAGGGCTATGAAATCACATCCTACCACGGCGCCATTCACGGTGAGGTGTTAGGGTTGAGACCGCAACCATCTGTCTCTGAAAATACTCCTGGCCTTGTTTCTCCTGGTAGCTGTTTTCCAAATGTTATTATGGGACATGCTAAGTTGTTTACGCCGTCCCTTGCCAGTGAGCCGATTGCTACCATCTGTTCAGAAATTGCATGCAATTGAAAGCCAAGTTATTTCACATTTCACATCCTCAAACAGTAAAACAACCCCCACTGAGCGTCTGCCAAGACATCAGATCATGAGTCCATATGCACCGAAAACAAAATCTCACACATTAACCGTGTGTGCATCTTTTAACGGACTGCGTTTATTACCTCCACCAAGGGCAAGGTAATGTTGTCAGTTGCGTATGTATGTCTGTCTGTCTGTCTGTCTGTCTGTCTGTCTGTCTGCCGGCCTGTCTGTCTCTCTGTGGACAACATTACTCAAAAACTTGTGGACGGATTGTCATGACATTTTTAACACATGTGTGTACTGGGCCAAGGAACACACCTTTAAATTTTGGTGATGTTCTGGATCACGATGCGGATACAGGAATTTTTTTTCTTTTAACACTCTGACATCGGCAAAGCTGTGATGCTTTCACAGGGCTTCTGTAAAAAACAGTGAGCTGGATTGGACAGCACGGACTTCAAACTTTATAAAAGTAATGTTAAAACCACATTTAATGATGAATAGTTTTTGCCATAATGTGTGCATTTCCAGAACGTTTTGTGACCAGGAAGTGCGTGACTGTACCATGAAACCTATTTTTCCCATTTCCTCAAACACACCACATTTCTGAAACAAGTAATCAAAACAGTTTCTCTCTACTACCGGGGCGGCTGTGGTGTAGTGGTAGAGCAGCCGGCTTTGGGACCCGCAAGTCCCAGGTTCGACTCCCCACCATACCCATGCCCATCCTTGGGCAAGATACTCAACCCCAATGCCTCTGATGTGTGTCCTATCAGTGTATGAATGTGATTGGCACTGATTACTTTCCATAGTTGATTTTACATGTTAGCTTTGTAGGAGATCTGATAGAGTGCTGTGTGAATGGATAAATGAGGACACAGGTTGTAGTGTGAAGCGCTTTGAGTGTCCTGGTTGGGTAGAAAGGCACTATATAAGTACAGTCCTTTACCATTTACTAGGCTTGTAAACAGAGAGTTTACCTCAAAGTTTGGAGACGGGGGAGCCAGGAAGCACTTTATAAAGAGAGTCAAACCATTACAAACTCATACAACGGGATAAAACAGATGTTTTACATGGTGAAATGTGACTGATGAAAACTTAGGAGCTTAATCCCACACCAGTTTGACCGTGAATAATGTCGGGTGACGAGTCTGACTTTTTTTTCACATTGGACTCCACCGGGAAGAAATCCCGTGCATACTGCCTGCTTAAATGTTCACCACATCAGAATATATTCGGCAAATGTGTTTCCATCGCTGCTTTTGCGCATTAACTCACAGGATGGGGGAATTGGTCTTGGTGGAGGTTTGCGCTCTCCGAGTGCTTCTAGTTTATTTTGCTGTCCTGACATGTGGCCACTTGTTTGTCTGTGCAGGACGGGGCCACTGGGATGACGACAGCGTCGTCAGCTCACCTGACGGGGGCGGATCCACCAGCGATTCCGGCGAGCGTTACCACGGCGAGCAGTTCCAAGCGAGCCCCCGAGAGCCGAGCAAGATGGAGACCCTGATCCGAGCCACTCAGCAGATGATTAAAGAGGAGGAGAGCCGTTTGCAGCAACAAAAGGTTCTTTTGGACGTCTCTGGACTCAGCAAAACTCACAGTCCATGTTTCTCCTCCTCCCTACCCCACCACTCCCAGATCCCCATGTCCAGCGTCGTGTGCCGGGGTCCGGGGGCCCCGAGCATTGACCTCTCCTACGAGCGCCTCCACCACAGGGACGGCGTCAAAGCGCTCGGACCTCATGACAATGACGAAAACACGACTAGTCCTGCGTCTCTGTCTCGCCTCAGCAGCCCCGGCTCCGATGGAATCCCCAGATCGGGTATTCCCCTCACCAAAGACTACATCCCAACGGATCTGTCCCCCCACCCCTCCCAGTCCCAGGCAAGTCCGCTCCTCTATCCAGTCCAGGAAAGGCAGCCGCTGGACAGGCAAGCAGCCTACGCCTTGGCCGGGTATTCCCTGGAGCACCTCTACGACCCGGAGAACTTGCGAAGCTACTCGGGCCTGGCGTGTGGAGGGGTTCAGTACGACGTGGCTTCTCACGTCAGGATGCAGGCTGAGCAGATCCAGGGACACAAGGCCACCTCAGTCATCATAACCAACGGCAGCTGACGATATCTGGTSCAGATAGGACATGTTGTCTAAACACGGATGCTGGAGTTGGTGGTGATGCAGGAGCAGGTGTTTGAAACTAAAACTGACAACAGGAGTCGAGGCACCTGTGTTGGACTGATGGTGGTCCGTTGAACTCGACTTTTAAAGACCGGGCCTCCTTTCTTTATTCTCAGAGGATGTTATTTCAAAAGGAACTAGTGTTTAGGAACAATAATTTGATATGCCACCTGACGAGGTTTGCTCCATAACAGGAAAAAGCTGTACTTTATTAGTGGTGTACGACCC